TGACGTCACACACACCTGCCACTCGAGTCGGGTGCCCCGGGTCCCTTGGGCTCCGTGTCCGGTGGAGGCTACCAGGTTCCAGGCTGTGTCTGGAGACTTGCCCAGAACCACTGCTATTCATTCACAAGCCACAGGGACCCCACGGTCCCCAGGGGGAGGAGTAGACCGCTCCTCTCGCTGAGGGTCTGTCAAGGTCCCATTGCAGACAGCCTGCGGAGGAGGGCGAGGACGCAGACGTCTGGCGACTCCAATCTGCCAGGCAGTCGGCGGCTGGACCCGCAGCTGGGCTCACTGTTTTCCTGTGTATACAGTTTTAGATTTTTTCCTTCCTTTGTTGATTTAATTTTTTGAAAATGTAAAACATGGATGCATTTCCAAAAAATCACAAGTGGTGCAGTAGACACGAAGTCCCTGGGCGGGAGAAGCGTCCACTCCTCCTACCCGACCCGCCTCATACCCAGCCGGGAGAAACCGCTCTGTCTGGGTCTCCTTTGCCGGAAGGAGTGTGTGTGCTTCAGCGTCACTCAGTGCCTCCTTTCCCGTCATTCAGAAGTGGGTACTATGTTTACTTTTCACTTTGCTCTTCTCAGTTAGCCCGTGGGGGGCCGGACCAGCTTTCCTGCCCTGTGTCCAGTTGTGGGGACCCAGGGGCTGAGTGCAGACTCCCTTCACTCAGAGCCCTTGCCAGGTGGGGTGTGTGGGTTGTTTCCAACATTTTGTGGTTATAAAAATAGTCCCTGCTAGACTGGATGACTTGATGGATGTGTTTCTGTGCGGTGGGGTTTACCTGCGAGGCGTGCTCCTTGAGCAGGGGCTGCCGGCCGGGGACATGGACGCATGGAGCTGTGGGCACAGCCAGGCTGTCCTATACTTTCTTGTCTTCCCAGCAACAAGCCAGCAGATCTTCCCACAGCCTCTGCAATGCCGTGCTTTCTCAGTGGCTTAGTTACTTTTCTCTCGTTGCTGAGACAAAATACCCGACATGCAAAGTTAAAGGGGAAAAGGTTTATTTAACTCACAGTTTGTGGAGGTTTCAGTCCATGATCGGCTGGCTCCACGGCGGGGTGGCACATGGCAAAGGGCAACAGTTCATGGTGGTGGAAAACAGCAAGAGGGAGCAAGACAAGCCTCTTCTGTGCCTCGTGTTGTACCCAGTCTACCGGGCTTAGGGCGGTACCACAGCCATCAGTGGACTGACCCAGCAATCACCTGCCCTTAATCCCAGCACTGCACCATGAATCAGTCACACACTGGACTCAGCCACCCCCAAAGAAAAGACCCTACAACCGCATGAGGCTTTGTGGGGAGCATCGAGACACAAACCATAACATCAAGCTTGTGACTTTCTTTTCCTGCCAATCCAATAGATGAGAAGTAGTACTGAGTCTTATTCTAAAGATTAAGCATTCAATGAAGAGTGAGGCTGAATGTTTTCATATGACTGGCACCGTTTACTTTGTGTTGAACTCTCTGCTTGCCTCTTTGCCTGTTTCTCCCCCTTTACCTCAGATTTTTGAGAGTTCTGCACAAATCAGGAAGTGATCCTGCCGTCTGCAATGTGGGCTACAAACATTTGCCCTCAGATGGTCAGGGATCTTTAGCTTTTCTTTAACTGCACATGGATCTGTAGTCACTGCTTGCAAGGCTTTCCCCACTTCAGGTTGTAAAGAAGCCACATGCACCCTTCTGAGGACATTCCCGTCTGCTGATTTCATCCCTCTTTCTATTCTCTCCAGTGACGACGAGGAAGTTCACGGACTCCTCGCCTAACAGAAATCCCCACAAAACCCAGAAGAGCCCTTGAATGGGAGCCCAACCTTCCCGAGAGAGCCAGCCAGTGTGTTCTGCAGCACCAGCCGACCAGGGTGTGTCCTGACAGCTGGCATCCCGCCGAGGAGAAGCAGCAGGTCGCCGGGGGTGTGCTCCACACAGCAGGAAGGGAAACCTGTCCAGCCGGATGCCACGCCATTCCTTGGAAGGCAAGAAAAGCCACACAAAACAGAGAATAGTTTAAAATTTTTCATGGTAGAATTTCCAGACATACAGGTGCAGGGAATGCCACACACGTCTACCAGCTTGGATTGCCAGCACCTCGCTGCTGAAGAGAATCTAAGCTCTGGGTCAGAGCCCTCGCCCCGAGGTCACCTGCAGCCTGGACACAGCACTGGGGTCACCACAGTGAGGGTCTCAGTCCAGGAGAGGTTGTGTTCCTGTGCACAGCCTTGAGTCCTTAAGAAGAGGGTCCCATTCGTCTGTTCTGGAAGAGGGCAGGTGAGCCGCAGTCCGTCTGGGAAGGAGGATTTCTACCAAAGTCTTCCAGGCCTGGAGACTTTGGGTTGGAAGTGCGGGTGCCCAGCCACTCAAGGGGCCTCTCCACTGCTGAAGGGTGCAGAGCCACGGAGGTGCCCCCCGACTGGGTCCCTGCAGGTGTAGGAGCAGCCGCAGCTCCTGAGCCACGCTCCTCCTCCCTCATGGCTTCTGGCATGAAGGTAGTTCTCTGAGTTATCTTCTGACAAGCCTGATGTTTGCCCTTAAAAAACAAAAGCAATGCAAAACAAAATCCCAGGGCAAGCTGCTCAGCGTGGCTGTATAAGAGAGTGACGCCCACCAGCTACAAAGTTGGAGCCAAGAGGGAAACAACTGCGCCTTACTTTTCTGTGTGCAAAAAACATGGTAACGTCAATGCTAAGATTAAAAATGGAAACCTCTCACTAAGCCCAGATCCTAGGAGTGCGAAGCTTTCATAAAGACATGGTCATCCATAAGTGCCACTTCATTGTCACCGTTTCTGTAGGCGTTTCTCTGGCCCCTCCCCAAACTGCATCGCGGGCTTCGCATTCTGCACATCTGTCCCTCCCTGTCAGTCCTGTGAGCTCTGGGCAGGAGAACCTAAACTCCAAGGCCAGATTCCTTTAAGAGATGGCCACAATGTAGCCACCATCAATCAGACACTGCAGCAAGGGCAAGGTCCAGAAGTGGACAGGCGAGGACCTCTCACAGGCGATGGAGGAGCAGGAAGTTCCTCGCCCACAGCTCGTGGGCGCCACCCAAGGGAGAGGCACAGAAGGGCAGGAACCGGCGAGATCACAGCCCCGAAGTCAGCACACTGTACACACTTGCTTAGGAGGAAGGCTCAGGCATGGAGGGGCGGGAGAGAAATGGGTGCATCCAGTCCGGAGGGGGGACCTGTCCCGCAGAGGGTGAACAGAGCCGGGAAGACGGGGGCACCAGGCCAGTGGAGGTCTGAGAGGTGGGGACTGTGGCGAGGGCTTTGCGGTGTGGTGGCTGCTGTACGGGGGAGCGGAGGAAAGGATCAGGAAGGTAGGGGAGGGCGGCTGGAGGCTGGCCCTGGCGGGGGACCCGCTCAGTGTGGAAGAACTGCGGGGACCCAGCAAATCTGGCTACTCAACGTCTCTGCACAGCCTGGTCCAAACCGAGCCATCTGCATGGCCCATACCACTGCCCAGGGCTGCGGCGGGCGGCGTGCCTGACCCAAGCAGCCCCACAGGCCTTCCCGCTGCCCCAGCCCCACACCCCTGCCTCTGTGGGCTCCTGGGGCCTGAGCTCTTGGGCTGATGCAGTGTGGAGCAGGTGCCATCTCTCACCCCTGCCCCAGCGGCTGCTCCTTCACAGCCAGCTGAGCACTGCACAGGGCCAGACCGGCCTCCCCGACGGCGGTCAGACAGGCAGAGCAGGGATGGCCAGGAAACGGCCCGTGGGTGCTGGGTTAGCTTCCTGGGCTGCCCCGGTGAGGAACCATGGCTTGGGGGGCAGCACCAAGTGGTGAGGTACTGGCTCGGTTCTGGAACCCAGGATCCAAACCCAAAGCTTCAGCGAGTACTCGGGGTGCAGAGGAGTCCTCCTGCCCTTCCAGCTCCTGAGGAGCGCGGGATTCTGTGGCTGGCGGCTGCATCACCCCAGTCCCTGCCTCTGCCTTTGCACGGCCTCTGCTTCTCCCGTCTCCCCGCTGTCTCTTCTAGGGACGTGTGTCACAATATTCGGGGCCCGCCCAGACAAGCCACACAGCTCATCTGAGGATCTCAGTCACATCGATAGAGGTTTTTTCCACACAAAGTCTCATCTGCAGACTCGGGTGTGGACCTGTCCCTGGGGGCCCGGGACAAGCGCTTCAGTCACCTCAGATGGATGTGGAGTGGGCACGGGCACCTGGATAAAGCGGTGGGGCTCGGGCCCCAAGGTTCCTAGGGACTTGCAGAGGGGCCCCAGCACCGTGTCCTCCCAGGGAGTCCAGGTGCAGAGGGGCAGGGAGGAGCCTCAACCCTTGTCAAGAAGGTTAGGAGTGGGGCCTGTGGGGTGGGGAGTCCTGGGACTCCCAGCTGCACGGGAGGGAGTGACACTCTCCATGTGGACCCCCAGGGACGGCCCCATCTTCTCACTCTGCCAACGCATCTTGCTTTACACCGGGCAGTTCCGGCTCTGGGCTTTGATTTCTCTGGGCCTGTCCAACCCTTCTCGCCTGCCTCAGCCAGCAGAGAACCCTTGGATCACAGAGGAGGACCGAAGGAGGAAGAGGCGGTGTGTTTAAGAGCTCCCCCCTTCAACGCCGGCCACCCTGCAGCACCGGGGCCACTGCCTGTGCCGGGTGACGCGCGAGGCCAGCTGTGCGCTGACCCTCAGTGTGGCCGGAGGGCAGGGCTGGCCTCCTTCTCACAGTTTGCTTGATGACAGACCTCGGAGAGTTTCTGTAGCAGGGGAAGGAGCATAATAAGCTTAATTTTGGCATTGTAAAGGTTATTATTATAATCATCTCTCTCTGAAGAATTGTAAATAATTCATTTGCAAAACCCCAGTGAAGTCTCTAATTAGCCTCGCACTATGCACTACAAAGCTGCTTCCTCCTCCACTTGCGAAATCCACTCTGTTTGGGATTTCTTGTTTTGTTTTTCTACTCTCTCCGCTCAGCATGTGAAGTAAGAAGCCAGCCTCCTCTTGTTGCTTTGTATGTGTTTTCAAATTGTGTTTCCACAGCGCGCCCGCCCTGCCCAGAGATGGAGGGAGCGTGCGCACGCGGGAGGGGGACGCATCTCCAAGCTCGTCTCCTGTCCTCCATGTCCAAGTCAGGCGGGTGAGACGGGGCCCCAGCTGTTTCCCCGGTGACCACAGGTGATGGTTTGCTTGAACTATGGCTTAGGTGTCCCTGCAGCTGACACAGCCCAGGGAGGCAGGAAGGAGAGTTCCTCGGGTGGGGAGATGGTGGGGCAGGAGAGGGCCGTAGCCCTGTTTCCACCCCAAAAGGACAGGCGTGGCTGCTGGCCCCCTCCAGGGCCAATCCTGCCGACCAGCACGGGCAAAGCTGCAAAGAGGCCTCGAGAGGCTACAAGGCCACGCCCAGGACAGGGGCCAGGTGCCTCGGCATCGCCTCTGACGTCAGTTCCCACGGGTGTTCTTTCAGGGATAACCTGAAAGAAAGTGACCTGAGCACATACCAGGTTCATGAGTGGGCACCTGAGGGGGGAAGAAGTGGATCTGGGCGTGCCCTGCTGTGCCTGGTGGGTGAGAGTGGACGCAAGTGTGCCCTGCTGTGCTTGGGGCAGCGAGGGGATGATAGCTGGCACAGGTGGCCACCTTGGGGCCAGACTCAGAAGCCCCCAGCCCCACCTCCTGCCACCCATGCTGGGGGCTGAGCACCAGCGCTCCCCACCTCCCTTGGTTCATGTGATAGTAGGGAGAGTGGGCACCTTGTGTGCAGTGGTGTCAGGGACACCAAGCGTGTAGTGCAGGGAAGGGAAGGGCAGAGGGGAAGGGTCAAGTGAGAAGCCACAGGGGCAGGCTGGGGGGAAGGGGAGAGGAGGACCTGCCGTCAGCCCTGTCATTGGGGGCAGGACCTTGTTCCGCCTCCCAGAGCATCCTGGACAGCTGCCCCTCATGTCCCTCTGGGCAGGGTCTGTCTGGGCTCGGTGGGCAGCAGTCACGCCTGGAGTCTTCCAGGTGCAGGGTGCAGGGTGCAGGTGCAGGGTGAAGGTCTAGGGCTGACCCCGGCTACTGCCACGCCACGCCCAGGGCTCTCTGTGGGCTGACCCTTTCCAGCCTGGCTCTGTTGCATGAGCTTTCCTGCAGCGGGTGGCACAGGAGCCCACTCCAGGCTGCACTCTGCTGACCCAGGCAAGGTGGCAGGCCAGGGCTCTGGGGTGTGAGGGGTTAAGTAGAAAACTCACACTGGACCAAGAACGCACTGTCCAGGAACCACGCTCCTCGAACGGGATCGCACCTCCTGTGCAGCTCAGGAGCCCTGGGAGTGAGCCGCATCTCCCCAGCCCCAAGGATCTCATGGATCCAGCAGGGGCACAAGGGGGCAGGGCAGGCTCCGTTCCTGGCTCATGGTGCAAAGCAGGTGGCTCCACTCGGTCCTCCATCCCACACCCCCTCTGCTGTCCATATCCTCTGCTGCTGTGCTCTGCAGGAAGTCACCTCCTGCACTGCTTTGACAGCCAGCTGGGCTTGGGGAAGCAGTGCTTGGGCCTCATCTGTTTTCTTCTGAAACAAAGGGAACCTCCTCATAAGGGTGGAAACTCATAAATGCATTGTCCTGAGTGACGTCACTGTGACTCGCCCGTGTTTCCTGACCCAGATCCAACGAATAGTTTCCCAGCAGCCAGTGCCTCCTCGGGACTTCAGAAAGTCCCTTTGGAAATGGGGGTATTTGTCAAGGAGGGAGAAAGGTGCCCTCCGGGCGGCTCCTGGATGTCCTGTTGTCTAATCCAGCCTTTCCCTGATGACCACACTGGCAGAAACGTGCCCAGCTGAAATCTCCTGAATGAGTATACTGTGAAGGCTAAATAAAAAGAGGCAAACGGAATGATTTCAGGGCTCCAGGAGGATCGAAGCCCTCTCACAGAATTCAAGATTCTCTCAGGGCTAAGACCAAGACTTTCTCTGGGTGGCCTTTTTATTTGGTTAGCAGAAAAAGGGAAGAGAGTACTCAAGAAGGGCAGACTTACTCAAGGACTTCTCCAAGTAAGGTATTAAATTAATCCACCCAGGAGTGAGATGCCTGAGGCTACAGTCTTTATCTAGTTGAGGTTGGATCCAGGTGTCCTTGGCTGTGATCTTGTCTTATCCTTTGAAGCTTTCCGGCTTCATCCGCCATTATAGGCTTTAGTAGAGATCAGTGACTCACAGAGATTCACTTACTATGAGTCTACCATCCATCTCTAGACAAGTAGCCTAGGCTTTGGACAGATTCACAAGTAAACATAAAAAGACAATTGATTAATTTAAGTCCTGCTTGGGGCTGCTTCATAGTGGTCTCCATCAGATGGGGGCTGAGAGGTCCAGGCAAGGCCGAGGATGTACCCAGCCACATCCATGGACAGGAGCTCTGCAGTGCTTATGGAGGAATGAGAGGAAAGCTGCTTCGCACAAGTCAAGACGTGCACTGTGCAAGCCATGGTTAAGTGCACACTTACCTGGATTGTGCCCATCTATGAGATCTTAGGGAGAGCAGCTGGCTTTCCCACAATTGTGAGGGCTCGTGTCACAGACAGCCATGCCTGTGGAGCTTCCTTTGTTCAACCCAGAGGCCATGGGTGTTCTCCTCAAACTTTTACATCACTCTGACCCTTTCTTGGAAACCAAAGGTAACTATTTGCACAGATGGCAGTCATTCAAGCCTTATCTTCCCTCAGCAGAGTCAGATGCCCAGTCCTGATTAGTGCCAGCTGAGGATGGATGGCCTGGCAGAAGGCCAAGTGGGCTCCAGGATTTCCTAGGCACCTGCAGAGGAGAGATTGAGAGAGACAGCCACACACTGGGTCCTTGGTGTCAAGACACCTGCTGTGCTTAACAATGTGTATGTTCTGTGACAATGGAAATAGAGGGAGTGGGTTAACAGAACAACAGAAGAGAATGCAAAGTCTCAAAACAGAATGCCCCAGAGGCAGGGCCTTAGTGTATATGGCAGCTGGCATTAGTGAGAACAGGACGGACTTTTCTTAAGTATCCTGGGAAAACGGGGTCCATATGCAAAACCAGATGTCAGGAGGGACTGTTTCAGAGAGCCAGTCAATAAAACGGGGTCCCTAGGTGGCATTTCCCAAGGGAAGCCATGCCTACGGCTGAGAGGCTGTGGCTGTGTGTCTTTACCCACATACTCTTCTTTCACTGTGACAGTGCCATTCCTTGAATGCAGGAAGACCTAGGTAAGTACGCTCATAGATGCAAGTGCCAAGGTGAACACTGAGGCAAGTACAGCTCCTCCCAGCCCCATGAACTCAGGACACTTGTCCATGAAACCCACCCACCTTGCTGAGAGGAAGCCAAAGCCAACTTGCATGGAGAAAGCCCCGCCCTCCTGTGACAGCTCTGCCTTCAGAGGTCCCTCAGAACCCAGCTGTGGCAGGATTTGAGGCAAATAACACCTTCTCCATCATGTCCATTATCAACCCTCACCCATAAAATCCACAAGTGTGTGGATACATGGGTGGTTTATGCCAAAAAGCTTTGGGGCCATTTGTTACATGACTAGTGACTAAATAGATCCCTACCTCACACCACACATGAAACTCAATTCCAGGAAGATACAAAACTAAAACAAAAGTCAAGCTCTAAATCTTCAGAAGATCATATAATCATATAAATATAATTCGTCTTCATGACCCTGGAGTGGGAAGGAATTCTTAAGTAGGACACTAATGGAATTAACCATCAAAGAAAAGATAGTTTTCTTGCTCTGCACCAAGTGTAGGACCCTCTAGTTTACCACAGGTCGTCACTAAGGGAGTGAAGTAGAGGCACAAGTGAAGTAGAGAAGGATGTGGGGCCTGCCACACATTCACCTTACAAGGACTCACGTACAAAATGTACAGAGAAGTTGCACAAAGCAATGATAATAAAAACAGAACTAGTGGACAAAATGGGCTGCTAATAGCACCTCATAAAAAGGAGACATCTGAATGGCTTATAAACAATGTGATACCGTCCCACACCCACCAGGCTGGCAGAGACAAACAGCTCTGAAGCAGACTTCTGTGCAGGGTGTGGCTGGGAGGAACTCCTGTGCTGCTGAAGGAGTATTAATTGTTTCAAGCAAATGGGGCATTTTCAGTGAAACAGGGGCTGTGTAATCCTATACCCTGGCATGTCTCTGCCTCTGTGATTAGAGAAGCTTGTGCCTGTGGGCTCTAGAAGAATGTTCTAGAATTTTCATAGCAACAATCCTCAAATCACTCCAAGTGTATAAATAAATGAGTGTACATTTATTCCATGGGACACTAGTGAAAATGAGACTTAAAAAGTTGTAACAGGCCAGCCTGGTGGTGCACACCTATAATCCCAGCATTCTAGGGGATGGAGGCAGGAGGCTTGCAAGTTTGAGTCCAGCCTGGGTACCTTAGTGACTCAGTGGGACCCTGACTCAAAATAAAAAATAAAAAAAAGATGGGGCTGCAGCTCACTGTGAAGGGCTTGGATTCAGTCCCCAATACCAAAAACAACAATAACACCCCCAAACTACAGTCCTGTGCAATAATACAGATGCATCTCACAGGCATGACCTGTGGAGGAAGCAAGACCAAGAAACCCACACCTGGCCCAGTCCACGAATGCTAAATTCCAATGGGGTAAAGCACACATGCTTCTTTATAGCTGATCTTCAACCTGGAACAGCCCTGTTGACGGACACGTCTTCAAGCTCACTGATTATTTCTGCTGCCAGCTCAAATGTGTTATTGATGCCCCAGCACAGTTTTAATTTTAGTTCCAATACTTTTCAACTCCAGAATTTCTATGTGGTTCTTTAAAAAGGTGATATCAAAAGGACGCAAGACAACATGTGTTGGTGCCGGTGTGGCACACATTGATTTGTATAATTGTAACAGTTTTACATATCAGTTAAAAACAGATAAAGAGAACAGCTTCTGTCTTTTCACTGGTGTTCTGTATTTACTGAGACACAGATCTTATGTCTTTCTTTAGTCCTGCAGAGATGGTTTCCTTTAGATCTTTGAACATATTCAGCGTAGCTGACTTAAACTCTTTGTTTAGTAAGTCTAACATCTGGGCACCCTCAGTGACAGTTTCTATCAACTGCTCTAATTCCTCTGTAAGGGCCACACCAGCTTATTGCTTTGTTTCTTCAACATTTTAGGTACTATAATAAGAAAATCAGATTCTCCTACTTCTCAGGGTTTGCTGCATGCTTAGTGACTTCCTGGCCGACTCTGTGTTCTGTATTCCCCACTGGTACCACCCTGTGTTGTGCTCAGTTAGCTGCAGCTGGTAGCTGGACAGAAGTTCCTTAACTGCCTGGAATCAGTGAGTCTGGTGAGCTTGGCTGAAGGCCCGGTCTGTGTGTCCATCAAGTCAGGCAGTCGGGCTCCAGCTCTGTGCTTGTCTTCCCTTCCTGTTTGCACAGAGGCTCCACTTCAGCCAGCATCCAGGCCTCGGGCCCTGTCAGGTCCTTCCAGGGCACACACGGCCCTCAGCAGGCTCACGACCCTGCACACACACAGCCGTCCAGATCTCACGAGCATCGTGGGGCTCCCCAGACCCCCTTCTGGACATTTTGCGGCCATCTTGCTGTTCACCCCCACGAGCTCCGGCTACTGCTCAGCTGGAGAGGGGAAAGGCAGGGCGAGTTCGAAGTCCCGAGCCCCACTGCTCCGAGATGCAGGCGCTGTACTTGAATAAAGCCCCCTAGACTGTTGTGAGCCTTTTGTTATCTTCAAGTTCTACAAAAAAGCTTTTTAAAAATTGTTTGTTTATTTTTTGCCAGAGTTTGTGTTGCTTATTCAGAGAAAATGTTTGGAGGTTCTCACTCTGCCCTTTCCACCTAGGACGCCCTGCACTTATTCTTCCTTTCACAGATCTGTATTCATCAAATGAGCAACACAAACAAAACCAGCACGGAGCCCCCGCACCCGCCATGGCAGTAAATAACACCTGTGTCTTTGGAGTGCTTGCAGTCCTCCTCGCAATGCGTCTGCGATGCCCTGGGAAGCTGGTCCTGGTCTCCTTGCTGGAGACGCACGCCCGTAAATTATCCAGACCCAGGAAAGGCTGTTCGGGCAGAGACTGCAGGAAACTAGAACCAACCGGAAGGCTGTAGTTACAGAGAAGGCAGGGAAGTGAGTCTGGGGCCCGACCCTGCCCCTGACCAAAGAGCGCGATTGCTTTGCACCTGGCTGTCCCTCTGGAAGGGCTGCACTCGAGCTGCGCCGCTCGCCCAAGGCTGTGAGGGTGGAGAAGTCTGGTGTTTTTAAATTAGATTTCCCTCGCCTTATTGTTACACTCTGAGGGCCCCAAACCGAAAGTTTAAGAAAATAGGTCAACATGTCTAAAAGAAAAAAATATTTCCCCACAGCCCCATGTGCTAGGCTTGGTGGAGGTCAGAGGCACTCTCAGCAGAGGCTGTGAGGGGCCAGAGGACCCCTTGTGCTGTGACCTGGGGACAGAGCTGAGGGCCAGGAGGTGGCCAGGACTCGGCGGATGGAATGCGGCCCTTGGCCAAGCTGCCAGGAGACGAAGAGGAGGAGGAGGAGGAGTAAGGCTTTCTTCCCTCCTCCTCTTAGAGAAAATGTTTTCCCAATAAATAACTGTGAAGTCTCAGATGAAATACAGCCTTCATGAATTATTTTGGCCTTTGTGGGATCCAGGAATCTTTCAGAGTCTGGACAGGGTCACAGAGGCTTCTGATGAATGCCCGCAGCTCCCTCGGGGACCCTCCCTTCCTGACAACCAGGAGGTGACCACCCAAGCACCCCTGCTCCCCGCCGCTCCCTCCCCTGGGGTGAGGACTGGGCTCAGCCCCGCAGTCCAGCAGCTTTCGCCCTGATTTGATTTCCTGTTGTTTTACTTCTTTTGTTGAAGATTCTGAGAAAGGGAAGAGAGAATCGTGTGGAATGTGCGTTGGAAGTAACTTCTCAGAGCGACTTTCTCAAAGTAGGTTCCGAGTAGGGCGAGCAGCTGTCTGGGTTTGCCAGGGACATGCAATTTCTTCAGCTAAAACCAGTGAAGTTCTGGGGGGAGCTGGTGACCTTGGCTCCATGGTTCCCCGTTCAGTAGGAAGCTACTAGGTGTGTTGTCCATGAAAAGTGCCCACTGTCACGTAGGGTGCCAAAACTGGGCAGGACGAAGGTGAAGTTCTGTTTGCTGCAGGCCCTATCAGAGCCTTTCACGACAGCATGGCTCATCTGGTGTAGCTGATTCTCACTGGCGCCCTGGGCTGAGTGCTCTGGAACCTTGGAACCAGCCGAAGGGTCAGTGTCCACGCTAAGTGGCCACTGGGGCTGGAGGACACCAGGCTGGGACTTGCCACACGGCCACGCGGGGTTCAGCACTCCTGGGGTGTGGTTCCAGTGTGTGAGCCCCGCCTAGCCCTGGGGTACAGGAAGGGCATCCCCCGGTAGGAGCAGGCAGGCCTGGGCCTTGGGGCAGTGTCCGCCTTCCATCCTTCCTTCCAGCGGGACACCCCACTTCTTGTGTGCGGCAGAGCTCATGCATCTGCTGTGTGGACCGGCTTCCTCGACCTATCTTCCCGGTGGCAGCAGGCTGTCAAAGCAGAAGGGAAGTGCTGGTGTGGCTCCCACTTCTACGTTCACAGCGCCGGTGCTCACGGGCGTCCCAGAAGGCACAGCCTCAGGAGGCCTCAGCCCACGCCAGCTCCAGGACCCACAGTCCTGGGTGACACCTGACACCTCATCCACTCCGGGCTCTCGGGGTGCTGCATGCTCCAGGATGCAGTTGCAGGGGGACGTGAGGTAACAGCACATGGATGACTGCTGAGGCTGACGATTCAGATGAAGACTTCTGAGCAAAGACGAGGCAAAGGTCACTCTCCTTCCGGTAACTTCCTGGTGGCTGGGGCCCCACGGCAGGAGTGCCGCCTGGACTGTGGGGACCGGGCCAGGGAGCAGGGCATCCCTTGTTTCCCATCTGAGGTTGGCCACACTCTCAGACCACGGGCTCCTGGGCTGCCACACTTTGGGGACCTGCGCCACCGAGCTCAGGGTCACCCCTCACTGCCCTGCAGGGTTCTGACTTTGCAGATGATGGCCACCAGGCGGCGCAGGCGAGGAGACCGCAGGGACACCTGGTGCAGGCCGGTCCTCCTTCCAGCGCTGAAGGACAGCTAAGAGCCGTCCAACAAAGCAGAGACAGAGACCCTGGCGGCCAACAAGGGCCACAGAGGTGAGGCAAACTGGCCCTCTTGAGCCTCCCGCCCGTGCAGTCCCTGAGGTTGAGGACCCCACTCACCTCCTCCCTGCTCCAGGTGGGCATCTCCCTGGGGGCCCCTGGGGCCACGCTGCTGGTCCTGGCACCGTGGGAGGCAGGGTAGCAAAGGAATCAGGGTAGAGGACTGGAACCACCGGACACGGGAGTGGTGTGCTGAGAGGAACCCCGAGCCTAGTGTGGTCGAGCAGGGGGAGAAGGGGGGAGCCACAGGAACCCACAAAACCTGAAGGAAAGGGAGGTGGCGGAGGGGGAGCCTTCGGGGGTCACTTCAAGCCCACCCCCTGTGCCCTCTCCCCTGGGTCCTGGAGACTCCTTTTGACTCTCCCGACTCTGCGCCTGTGAGCACCTTGCCCCAGAAGGAAAGACCCGGTGGCCAGCCAGGACCAGAACAAAGTGGGGGTGACAGGCTGGCTGGGGTGCCCACCTCCACACGTCCTCGGTTGGCTGCTGATGGAGCTGGCCTCTCTTCCACTCTGGGGCTGGGGTCTGCAGAGGTGGCTGGTCGGGCCCAGGCTCTATGATTCCTCTTTTAAACAAACCCAAGGTGGCCCTGTCCTTCCCCTGAGCTGTCACATAAATCTCCGTTTAGTGCCACCGGCCTTCTACCCAGGGAGCTGTCTGGGATGTTTTGAGAAGGACGGGAGGTCAAATGGTCGCGCTTTAGTGCTGATGGGGTTGACAGCTAGGCCTGGGTGCCAGACTGGGGAGACAAAGGAGCCTCCAGGGGCGCCCTAGGGGCCCTGAGCTCGGCCACCCGGGGTCAGGGACAGGCCGCAGTCATGAAGGAAGGGCTCTTGCGGGTTCGTGGGGGCATGTGCCTCCCTGCCAGTCCTTGAATGTGCACATGGGCATCTACAGAGAAACGCCCGGAAATAAGGCCGCGCCCCCAGATTTAGGAATTTCTTTCTTGCCATTTTTCATGTTTTCGTTGAACACTGGGAATGGGACGCTCCCCTGCCCACATGTGGACGCTCTCGGGGGCCGGAGGCTCCAACTCCAAGCCCGTGTCTGCTGCATAAGAATCTTCATCAGGATGGTCATCCCTGAGTCAGGATGAAAAGCCCCTCGTGTTTTCCTCCGGGGCCATGAGCCGTCCCAGGCCCCAGGTCCTTCGAGGCCTAGCCCCTTAGCTGACAAGAAGAGGGCTTGGAAACCCCTTCCTCTCGGCACTGGCCAGGCTGCAGCTCCTCCTCCTGTCCCAACCCTGCCCCTCAGGTCTCCATTGCTGGCCTTGGACCTTGGGGTGTGTTGGGCTGCAATGCTGATCCTGCTGGAGAGGGAATCTGCTCTTCAGAGAGGTGTTCGAGAGTTCCGTCCTGCTGTTCTCAAGGTCGCCCGAACAGCCCAGGAGGTGCCCAAGGAGGCTGGGGCAGAGCCAGGCTCTGGAGACCTGTGGCCAGGAAGCGGCTTGGCAGGGAACCCTGGAGGGCTTCTTGGCAGAGGTGTCACCCTTGGGTGTACCTTGGCCCTGCTAGGGGAGCAGGGGAGGGGCAGGAGACCACAGGAGAGAGCAGCAGTGTTTGTGGGCGGGGCCTGAGCCACTCCAGTTTGGGTGTCCCTGGGATGGGACGGCAGAGGGCAGGTCAGTGGGTTTAGGAAGATACCTCCCGGACCTGAGCGAGGCTGCTCTGAGGGCCGGGGAGTCTGAAATCGGGCCTGGGTTTCATAAGTGCAGCCTCTGGCTGTTCCAGTTGTCCCGGAAGGGGATGGGACATCGACCAGAGGGAAATCGAGGCTGGAGGTGGCACAGGTGCGGCACCCACCCTGGGAAATGCGGGGTTTCTAGCAAAATCCAGATTCAAGCCGGGGCAGGATGGGCTGGGCTCCGCTTCTTACTGCTTCAGAAATATGGGGACGCAACCTTCAGAGGAGCGGCCCGGAAGGTGTCCAGGCCCATTTTGGTCTCGGGAGTCCGAAGGTCTGGTGAGTTCTGTGTGGAACTGGGACGGAGCCCAGAAGGCGGTGCCTCACTCCAGACAGGTTCACTCTGCCGCCCTCACCACTTTCCGAAGAGGCTCTGAGCTCTCTTCTGACTGAAGCAGAGGTCAGGCTCCGTGGGGGAGCTCGCCACAGCTCTGGGTGTGGGGAACGCAAGGCTGGGTGGGAGGGCAGGGGCCTGGCCCAGGCTGGGTTTGGAGCTGCCCGAGGTGGGAGGCCGCCTCTCACTCGAGGGAGGGGTGTACGGGGTACACTGGGGTCCCCAAGGAGCTCCTGGCCCAGGTCCCAGCTTCGGTCCGTATTTGCACACTGCTCGCCCACCCTGGTTGGCCCGAGCCCCTGGGGCCACCTGAGGAGCAGAGGCTGCCCTGCGTCCCTTGGGAAGTGGGGCCTGGCCACTGCACACCAGTATGTCCGTGCTCAGACACGGGGCACCCTGGGTGGCTGGGACGCTGAACAGACTATACACCCCCACACTCACCCTGGCAAGAGGCTGCACAGGGCCGGGGAGGGCTCAGCAGGCAGTCTTTGAGGGAGAGCTGTGCACTTGGATCCTAAGGGCAGGAAGGGAAAGCAGGGGAGACAGAGGAACACAGGTGACAGGAGGACCCTTGTCTCACTTGCAGTTGGGGACAGAGGAGCATACTGATCTTTCATTGTGTCCTCCTCTCTCAAGCCCTTCTGAAAATGGATCAAGTGTGCCCGGTCCACCCCAGGCTGGGAGGACTCAGTGAAATGACCAGGATGGTGAAGCAGCAACCTGCACACCTCCGCCGACTCAGGAAGCTTGCAGGCAGGCACGGCCCTGCACGAGCGCTGGCCTGGGGCAGGGGCCCAGCTTTCTTGCTTGCTGGTAATGAGCCCGCCGAGCCAGCATGGGACGCTGGCTTCTGAGCGTCGCTGTGGCGATGAACAAGAGAACCCACACAGGTTCGCAGCTGCCACCACCTGCTCAGAACTAAGCCAGGGTCACTGTCACGCAGGACGCATGTGCTGGCCACTGGGCCAAGAATCCAAGGCACAGCGTGCTCAGACTCCCTCTAGAGCTCTGAAGTTTGGTGAGGTAGACAGACATGAAAAAAATACTGCAGGTGTGTGAAAGCCATTCTGGCCATTCAGTTTAGGGAACAGTGGATTCTCCCAGGGCAGTCAAGAACAAGCTCTTTTACCGGCTACTCCAAGAGTTCGGAAACAAGTCATGTGTGACACAGGGGAAGGCAGCGTGAGGGGCAAATGACCCGCAGACGGCCCTGTAAGCCCTGAAACTCACCCCAGGGCCTGAGATCACAAGTGCATATGCAGGAAAACAAGCAGACCTCAATACCTTACACACAAACAAGGAAGATAGTGAACGCTGCAGAGAAAGTAAACACTGAGCTAAAGAGAGAGTCACACACACAAACAACAAAAGAAAGCA